ACGCTTTCCATGCTTTTCAGCTTTTTCCTTGGGATAAATAGTGCAATCCCATGGAGTCCATGTCCCCTCAGGGGTAACCCTGGCCCCGGCCTAATGCTCCCCTTCCTCCCCTTTAATGCTCCCCACTTAATTAAGTGGGGCAGTGAAAATCAGCCCCCAGCCCTAAGGGAAGGGAATGGAGCCGCTGCACCCAGGAAAGCAGAGCTGTGGGTGAAAGGCAGTGCTGGCACCGCAGCTGGCGGGCCTCTGCTCGCCTACCGCCTTCGTCAGGCAGTCTGCCCTGCCCGCCAGCCGAGTTGGCTGTGTCCAAAATAAACCAGCGTGTGGGCCAAATGAGAGCCTTTTTCCCACTTGCTGCCTGGCAGGAGCAACCACTCAAAGCAATGCGCTCAGGAGAAGGTCCTGGGTGACTCTGGTGATGCTGCAAGCATCACCCAGATCATTTAGCCTATGGTGTCCTCAAGGCCAGGTGAGCCAGGATAGCAAAGAAGGAGTCTGTCTGCAGCCCTCCCTGCAGCAGTGATGGCCAGCCAGCCCTGCGGTGACAGCCCCTGTTTAACCGTGGATCTGCAGCAGCCAGCCACGCTGGGAAGGATGAGGTATCTTTTAACAACAAAGAAAATACATGTACATGAGAACCGTCTAGTTCCAGTCCCAGCCTTGGACTAGGGAACAATGGCAGAAGAGCCAGCCCACTGTGATGCTTTGACGTGTTAGAAAGAGGCTTCATTTCTTACACCAACAGAAGATCTGGCAGTGGGGTGGGGGAGCAGAGATATGTGGGGTTGTTTGCAAATACCCAGATCATTTGGATGAAGTCTGAAATGCCCCAGCAATCACTGCAGAAATATTTTCTACCGTTTTACCCCATGGAGCCTGGGCTACAGATCTTATTTTGCCCTAGCTGAGTAAGTGAATGAGGCAGGTTCACACCCTTGAATGATGCCATTGCTGATTAGAAAACACACAAGAGTTAGGGCAGGCACCTTGCTTGAGAATAACTGCTGTGACAGCTCTTCCTAGGGGACATCCTAAGCTTGGGCCTGGGAGATGGCAAAACTACACTTGCTTCTCTGCTCAGGCAGTCTGAGCTGTGCCTTTCGCATCTCTTCCCTGTAGCCCAGAGCTACAAGCAATCCTGACAACACCTGGTGGCTCCAAAGGGTCTTCTACAGGTTACACGGATCTTTTGCAGAAGCTAAGAGGATGTGGTGGCTGCCTTCCCTATGATCCAGGTCTGCAGTCTCCATTAGCTTCGACCACTGTTGCTTGCAGTTCAATGCTGCCAGGTAAAATAGGTAGGTAAGGCAAGCAAGGTA